CCCAAATCCAAAATGGAAGAAGACTCGCAGAGTGGGCTCGAGGGTGTAGTGCTTAAGGCGAGGATTTTTCGTGGCATGTGTGAAGTACATACATGCATATATGTATATATGCATCTATATATATATATATGTACATATATATATATACACATGTCTTTACTCCAACCCTGAACCCTCAGGTTTGTATGCAGAAACTCAGGGATGCACATGCTGGAATCCAGTAAGCTTCAGTCTTAGGTCTTGCGTGCAGCGGCCGCCCTGGGAAGGATCATGTCGATTTCTGTGGATGTGCATCTGCTGAGCGGCAAGAGTGCTTTCTTGGAAGTGGAGGTGGATGCAACTGTTGAGTCATTGAAGTGCCGTGCTCAGAGTGCTCTGGTCACGGGTAGAGGGAGGCTGCTCAATTCTTCTGGAGAGGTCCTTGATGGAGCAAAAACGATCACAGAAGCAAAGTTGATGAGTGGAGACGTGCTCACTCTACACGTGCACCAAGTCCAGCTTAACGCCACCATAGGCAGTCCGTTCTGTGCGTTCGCCGCACTCCTGGGTGATGGATCCGTGGTCACCTGGGGCGATGTTGCCCATGGTGGCGACAGCAGTGCCGTACAGGATCAGCTGCGAGATGTGCAGCGGATCCAAGCTTCCGGTGGTGCATTTGCTGCAATCCTGGGTAACGGATCTGTGGTCACCTGGGGTGACTCCGGCTTTGGTGGCGACAGCAGTGCTGTACAGGATCAGCTGCGAGACGTGCAGCAGATCCAAGCTTTTTATGGTGCATTTGCTGCAATCCTGGGTGATGGATCTGTGGTCACTTGGGGTCACGCCGACACCGGTGGCGACAGCAGTTCGGTACAGGACCAGCTGCGAGATGTGCAGCAGATCCAAGCTTCTGGTGGTGCATTTGCTGCAATCCTGGGTGATGGATCCGTGGTCGCTTGGGGTAGCGCCGACCATGGTGGCGATAGCAGTGCGGTGCAACATCAGCTGCGAGATGTGCAGCAGCTCCAAGCTTCTGACTACGCATTTGCTGCAATCCTGAGTGATGGATCTGTGGTCACCTGGGGTGGTGCCGACTGGGGCGGAGACAGCAGCACGGTACAGGATCAGCTGCGAGATGTGCAGCAAATACAAGCTTCTGGTGGTGCATTTGCTGCAATCCTGGGTGATGGATCTTTGGTCACTTGGGGTCACGCCGATACCGGTGGGGATAGCAGTATGATACAGGATCAGCTGGGAGATGTGCAACAGATCCAAGCTTCTGGTCGCGCATTTGCTGCAATCCTGGTTGACGGATCTGTGGTCACCTGGGGTGGTGTCAACCATGGTGGCGACAGCAATGTGGTAAAGGATCAGCTGCGAGATGTACAGCAGATCCAAGCTTCGCGGGCAGCATTTGCTGCGATCCTGGGTGATGGATCTGTGGTCACCTGGGGGAAAGCCAGGCATGGTGGCGACAGCAGTGCGGTACAGGATCAGCTGCGAGATGTGCAGCGGATCCAAGCATCTTTCGCTACATTTGCTGCAATCCTGGGTGACGGATCTGTGGTCACTTGGGGTGACGCCGGCACTGGTGGCGACAGCAGTTCGGTACAGGACCAGCTGCGAGATGTGCAACAGATCCAACATTCGCCTGGAGCATTTGCTGCAATCCTGGGTGATGGATCTGTGGTCACCTGGGGCAGTGCCGCCGACGGTGGGGACAGCAGTGCGGTATATGATCAGCTGCGAGATGTGCAGCAGATCCAAGCTCAAGAAGCATGCCGCGGATGATTTGCTCCAATACTGGGTGATGGATGTGTGGTCATTTGGGTGAGGCGAACTAATTATGGTGGCAGAAGCAGCAATGCGGTACCGGTACCGGATCACTTGTGAGATGTGAAGCAGACGTTTTTTGAGAGTGCGGCTGCCGCCACTACTACTGCTACTACTACTACTACTACTGCTACTACTAGTACTACTTTTCTTTTCAGTCTAGGGCTCAGGGCTACGGAAAAGGGTTTAGCGTGTGCTATGAGTTTATAATTTTCCGGTCATCCGGTCATTTCGCATTTGCTTGCAGTTTCCGTTCATATCGCTCTCAGCATGTGTGGCTCCCGTCTCAGCTGTATGTTCACTTTTTGATGACAGTTCTGGCTTCTCGATCTGGTTTTAGTGTTTAGTGGGTTTGTTTTGAGTATGTTCTCCTTGCCCAACCCCACAGTCGTAAACAAGAAACGCTTGAGTTAAGGGTGTTTTGACTTAGAAACCCCGGTTAAACCCGCAGTAGAACCCTTTTTGTACCCTATTTGAGGAACCTTTTCTCAGGAACCCTAGATACTCAGCTCAGGATGTAGATCGTTATTTTCATGCTGTACCGTTATGGAGGCCCAATGTGTTCACCTGAATGGGCGGTTGTTCAGCAGGGGCAACTTGGAATGCACTTCCCGGTGCGGATCTTCAGCAAAAAGAGAAGCTGCGTCATGGCTACTTTGTTGGGTTGATCGGCGGGCTTATGTCAGGGATCTCATCACGGAATACTGGTTGTGCTAGCTCCCTTCAGGGCCCCGCCAATACTTGAGGATCGCTGCCGGTGACTTGCGCAATATCCTCTCATTGAGGAATCTTTTGGAGTCTTTTTCCCCCTGCAGGCCATCGGCCCCTACAAAACTGTTAGATTCTGGAGCCGGATTGCAGGCAGCTCCTAGCTGCATACGGTCTCCACAGTGCGGCTCAGAAGTACGGGCCCTGGTCGTGTATAAGCAGGTATGGTCGAGTTAGGAGCTCAGGGTTTTACGGGCTCCGTTTTTCCAAGTGCAGTTCCGGGCGGGCCTTGGAAGCAAAGCCTGGCTCGAGAATGGTTCGGAACCCAGTAAATGGCTCAGGGGTCACCAAGAGAGACTATTGAGGTGGACAAGGACCCAGACTTGGGGATTCTTTGGTTCCACAGGCCCTGCTTGTGATTCTCGCAGGTCAGTCAACAGATGCTCTATCAGCCCTCCGTCATGCGCCTGCCTCAAAGGTCCCTGGTCTTCGCGAAGTTTGCCAAGTAGCTTGGGTCGGCATTTGAGGACATGAGCCTCCCCTGCACTGGAGGCTCACGAGTGAAGTGCAAAAGCGCGGACCACTAAGAAGAAGAGAAGACGCTGACCTGGGGCGCTTGTGAGGGAGCTGGAGGGCAACGAAGGAACAAGCTTGTGAAACAGAGCGTGCATTCGCTTGGGGGTGATTTTCCCGCCCATATACTTCAGAACCAGCACGGCACACAAGATCCATGATCGAAAGAGCAGGCATGGGCAGCACATGCTGCAACTACAGCATTTCAAGCGGCATGTAGTTGACGTGGATGAAGGAAGCAGAGACGAGTCGCAAGATACTTTGAGCTCCACTGTTGCAGGGAAAGTGATGATGAATTTCTCTCGTAATAATCATTAACCATTAATCTTTAAGTAGTCCTTTGGTAAAGTCTGTACATGATCCGAATAAGTTGACCTTGGGGTCATGTAGGAATCTTGACAGGTAGGGGGGGCGAGGGATGTGTCTGTGGATTGTGTGGCCCCATGACTGGACGCAAGCAAGTCCGAAGTCTCAACCCACCCCAGGCATCCGACCACCGTCCCTTTGGTTCCTCGGCTTGAAGCCTTCGATTGTACCGATGCTTTATGGCAGGTCTTGCTTTCGGAGTGGCATTCCTAAGCCCCAAACCCAAGCAATGCTGTCGTGTGCCAAACCCAGCTATAGGTCTGGGTTCTCAGATGTCTGTCCTTTCCGTATGTCCCTTCTGCCGCTTTTGGGGAGGTCTTCCGTCCCAGGAGCGAGAATGTGAGCTTTCGGATGTATGCCAAAAAACAACAGGGGATGGCTTATCGGCCTTAAAAACCTTCCGCAGTAGGATCCTAACTACACGTCTAGTATACGCCCGTAGGGCAATGCACGGGCCTCATTAATTAGAACGGGCTTTGGGCTTGTATTATACTATACTGTTATTATGGTAGAGGCTTGTTATAAAAACCCTCTATACTCCTACTTTACTCCTGAGGTTCTGAAGTCCCATGGAGCGCCGTCTTAAAGCCTTTTACAGCTCTCCCCCTGACCAGCCGGTTCTGCTCAGGTCTCCGAGGCGGCTCTGTCTGTGGGTGACAGGCCCCTTCTTGCGGGCGGTCTTAGTCTAACAGTGCAGGGAAGGAAATATGGCAGGAAGTATGGTAGTATATGGTAGTCTGGAAGAACATGGTGGTGTGGTGGTATGGTGTCTAATGCCTTGGGTTTGGGCTTTGGGCGTAGGGTCTCAGGTTTGAGGAGTAGGGTCTGCGCGCTGCCCCAGAACTCGAAACCAGAAGCCGCACGAACCTAAATCCCAGCTCATTTAGGCCTCTCGTAGGTGAACGAACCCAGCTTATTCAGCTTGTTGGTGCATTTATTTCAGCTTGTTAATCAGCTTGTTTTTGCAGGTGAACAATCGCCAGCTTGTCTGAGTAAGCTGACTTGTTCACCTACAACAAGCTAAGAAAGTTGAGATTTGCCCACTCACCCCAAACTGTCGGTGGCAAACCAGGGCGACGGAATCTGGTGAATCTGACAGCGCACAACAGACCCACCCCCAAGTACAGATCAAGAGCCGCGCATAACAGCGCAAGCCACTCATCACTGCCTGGAGACTCCGAGCGGGCTTTTCCTTAATTAAACTGGTACAGAGATGAGATGTACCAGACTCTTAATCATGCCATTGATTTGTCCCCACGGTCGTAGTCCTCTGTCGCCAGGCAGAAGACCCCGCAGCAGGCGTCGGAGAACTTGTGACCTGCAGTCTCGGAGCCCCTTGAGAGCCGTCTTGTTTCGTCAGGGGAATCCAGACGAGGGCGGCAAGGACGAGCAAGGCCTTCGCCGACGGAATTCCTTCACCCAGGCGAGTCCAAAGGGTCGAGGTCGAAAACACCAGGCAGACGGCATTTCGGTGACCGAACGTGCACTGAGGAGTGTCTGCTCACAGCTGAAAGCGCCGCTGAGAGTCCGAGAGTAGCGCCATGGCGACCGTTTCTTTGCAGCTCGAGAACCAGCTCCGGGGCCCATACTCGGACGGAAAGAGACGGGCAGGGAGGAGGGGAGGAGAGATGGACTTCACCCGAAACGCGGAGAGCGCTGAGGTTTTCCGGTCCCACAGTTCCTCGCCAACTGCATCAGTCGACTCTCGGCCAAAACACAGCGAACGTCGGAAGACTCGCGGATTCTTTGCCCCCTCTCCAGCAAGCTCTGCAGGGTTCGTGTCAGGCTACCGGCTGCTCTTGACAAGCGGCTCAGCCACGAGGAGTACCAGGCACTGAAAGAACGCGTGGACAAGGACCGGATGACCGGAGCCGAGACACAAAACGCTACAAACTCCTCCCAGAGGCCTTCTCTGCTGGCTCCCCGGGCTCCCCTTAAGGGGGGGCCCCGAAGGCCTGTTTAGGGAAAATGGGGGACGAAGGGTGAGTAGAAAAAAGGGCCCCGAAGGCACCCAGACTTAAGAGCACCTGGACCTTCCCAAGGATGTGTTCGCACGGAAGCTTGCGGCAGGAGCTGTTACCCATTGCGCAAGCTGCCAGAGGCATGTTGCCTTTGGCATACCTGTCCCTTGGCATTTCTGCAAAAGGGGGTGGTCTCAGGGCCGATGTCACGGGCTGATGGTTTCGGATCCGGGGTAGGACTCCCAGGGGAAACTGCATGCAAAACTTGTCAAGCCCGGACCAGCCCGAGGCTTTGTGGGGTGCAGCTGTTTAACGTGCTGATTCTTGGTACGCTGGTGTGCCTTGATGTCTTTCTGCTGGACGAGGCTGGAAGCTTGTGCTGTCTACAGGTTCGCCGTCCACTCTCGAAGAGAAGGGGATTCCTGTGTGGGCTTCCATTGCGGGCGGATTCTTGTCAGGCATACGCATCAATCCCGAATTGGATACCTGCAGTCACCGAAACCAAGCACCGTCCAGGTAAGCCTCTATGTGGCGGAAGGCATTTTGGCCGTTGTGGTCACAAGCATCGTCGCCGCCTGGCGTGAATAGTCGTAACTTCATCGTTCCTGAAGCCTCTGTGTGTCCAAGATGCCACGCCACCCTCCGTCCTATCGTCAGCGCTCCAGGATCCCCGAACTAACGGAACCAACAGGGGAAAAGAGCACTAGAGCAAAGATCGGAAGGATATAGAGAGTCAAGGCAAGAGCTCTTGGAGTCTTCGGGCAGGTGCTGGGCATCCTGTGGCTCTACAGCCGTCTGAGTAGAGTCGTCTACGAGGCCCGGAGCCCCTTTCGAGGGAGCTCCGAGCTCGAGGGCGCAAAGCAGATCAAAGCAGGATTTCACGGCTTCGGTCCCGTCGCGTGGAGTCGCAGGCGGAGACTTCTCTTCGCATTGCCTTGGTGGAGGAGACACACCTTATGTTCAGTATACGGGATGCTTGAGTTTCAGACTCGCGAGATAGGCAATGCCGCAGCTCTCTGCCCGCAAGGAGTGCGCCAAGATGCCGCTGACGCTGCAGTGCCTGCGCCGAAACTCGAGAGATCTTGAGAGCGTGTGAGTCTGTCTTGCGCATTCTAACGCCTGAACTCTTGACCGCCTGGTGCTGGTCGTGCTGCTGTTTTGCACTTGCCAGATTGAGTGTCCAACCCCGCGCCTGGCGTCTACCGAAGCTCGGCATAGACCGGCATGGTTGGCAAGGGTTGCCTCATGTGGACATCTGAATATCGGGTGTTGCTCGCGCGTTTACAGCACAGAGATATTCTCAGTGTTCCGGCGGTCAGGATCTTCGACATCTCGGTGGCTTTCGGGGAGAAGGTCGCTCCAAGTGTGCCCGCGGGAGGCCCAGTGGAGGCAGGCAAGAGCCGTTCTTTTCTCTTGCCCTGACCTGGGCGCAGACAGAGATAAGGCCCCGGGCCTCGCAAGCCCCTCATGCCCTGATGAAGAAGAGGGAGAGATCGACGCAGGGGAAGGGGGCAACCCCTTCCTCACACCCTTAGACAGAAAGAGGTAGAGCACGAGAGAGAGAGAGAGAGAGAGAGAGAGAGCGAGAGAAGAAAGAGAGCGAGAGAGAGGGGAATACACTGTGGGGGGTGCTAACGCACGGACGGGAGGGTAGCTCCCTCACCCTTTACCCTTGCGAAAAAGAGAGTTCCAGTCATACAACCATCCTAAACTCTCCCTCCCTGGGAGAAGAAAGACAGAGAGGGAGAGGGAAAGAGAGAGTCTTGAGTCTTCTCTGAGTGTCGGGGCAACATCTGCCTCTGATACCGTGCGCACCGCCAACCACGGGCTTCTCCGGCGGGGGCATGCCCTCATGCCTGGTGAAAGAGAGAGAGAGAGAGAGAGAGAGAGAGAGAGCAAGTTATGTCTCTAGCCGGAAAACTTAACCTAGTACCCCGTGCAGTGTCGTCATGTCATGTGGAGTGTCGCACCCTGACAAAACAAGTACCCAATAATGTTACGTATGCTAGCCTCAGTCAGGGGAACAACACTCAGCCTTCACTCTCCTCCAAAACCCCCACAAACATTGGCGAAGGTCGAGGGGCTTCAGACACCCTATGACACCCCTCATGCCTAGGGGAAGAAGCAAGGGCCAGGGCCTGCCCCCGCCCTATGCCCCAAGCAAAGCAAAGCGCGAGGGAGGGTGAATCAGAGGGAGGGAGGGAGGAGGGGGAGGGAGGGGCGAGACCAATGTATAGAGAGAGAGAGAGAGAGAGAGAGAGATATAGAATTTTTTGTGTGGTTGTTCTTGGCTGAGTGAAGTGACTGACCTGAACCCCTGCCGTAAGGTTCCACTGCAAGATCTGATTCTCGACAAGTGCTGAAGGATCCGAGGGGCCTCAACCTTTTTTTATTGTGTGCATTCCCCGTACCCTTAACCCGATACCCTCAGCCCTGCCCCAACCTCCTACTCGCAACCCAAGAACTCCCTGAATACTGCTATGCTGGTCCGGATTTTCTCGGCATTTTCGGGGGCGTCGCCGGGCGGAGCCTGGCGTTCTCGGCGCCTTCGAAGTGAGGGCATTGGCTCCGGCGGCATCTGCTGCAGGGGCTTATGCCGTTTTGTTTAGGGACCTTTGAGGAGATGATACTAAGCCTCTCTCTTCATGGGAAGTGATGCTTGAGACTTCACGAGGCCAGTCAGGCAACAGCCTGCTCGGGCTAGGGTGTGGGAAGTTTAGGCTCCAGCGATCTTGAGTCACGGGAACCGGATACTAGTGAAGTCTGCGTGCCTACAAGTTTGATTTTCCAATTTCATCTGCTTTACAGGGTCTACATACCTGGGATGCAACAAGGCCGGACGGTTTTAGAAACGCCGGAAATGCACGTTGTGTCCCTTAGCAGCAATGACATGACCGGTCACGTGCCCACAAAGGATATGCCTCAGCCAGTCCTCCCACAGTCAAGGGCCCCCTAAATCCTAACCCTTAGAGACCGGAGCAGCACCGATCAAGGTGCTTTTAACGCTCACAATGTACAGTCACCGCCTGGGTGCGTCTCGACGACTCGGCTTCGGGTGTCACGAAAACCGCAGACTTCGGTGCGGGTAGGGCAGGTTTTGGGATCTTACAGGACTAAGGGGCCCCCGGACCAGCGAACATGGAGCGGACCCAGCAGTCACCCTTTTTGGGGGACCCTCTGGCTGATGCAAGGATCGCCGGTTTATTGTTGGCTACGGCCTTCGGCACCCAAGAGCCCCCTCTCAGAAGACTGATGATCTCATTAGTTGTACCGTTGTCAGTGGACGCGTTGGAAACTGAAATTTTCTGGTTGTGCTAAGTATGCGCTCTGAGTCTTAGTCTCCGAAGGGGCTTTGTTTTGATTTTGGGCGGCGGATTGTGCCACCATCTTCAGCCGGTGTGTTTCCGCGGGCCGTGTCACATCAGGGGTGGAGCCGTGCAAGGCCAGAGAAGGCAGCCAGGGACGCGCACGCGCAGCCGTAACGTGTTGTGTAGACTGGGTCTTCCTTGAGGCAGCAGCTGCGCAAATCTGAGAATGACCACTGCGACACCGAGAGGTTATTGAAATCTGACTACCCAATTTTCCCTGCGGCCCTCAATTGACCATGTGGACTCGCGAATGGAGGAATCACCATGAAAATAATGCGTGTCCACTCACACACCCCACACACCCACACGCGCACACGCGCACACACGCACACACGCAGACACACAGACACACAGACACGCAGACACGCAGACGGGCGGACAGACAGACGGACGGAAGGACACTGACAGACAGACCGAGACAGAGACCGAGACCAAGACTGAGATGGAGATTGAGACCGAGACAGAGAGAGACATACTTACGGGGGATACACATACACATAAATCCCACCCGCATGCATACACTGGCATACACACATACACACGCACATACACAATCAGACACATACATACACATAAGACATGGACGCATGTAAACATATTATAGTCATATCGGCTTGTAGATGCGGGCATGTGCGCGGAGACATTGCGCATACGCGACTCATTCGTGGTATCACCTGCACTTGCATATACATGCATGTGCATATGCATGTACATGGTGCGCACACGCACGCGCACGTGTTTTCCTGCATAGATGGATGGACGTATCTGTGCATTTGTGTAGGTACGTACGCTGTCGACGCATGCACACAAGTGTATGTATGTTTAAAGAAGTCACTCCTGGCTGCCCTCTCCCGGCCTCGTGATGCCTGCGTGGGACACACCGGATGCCACAGGTTCTCCACAGGAAGCCTGGCCAAGTGTCGTGAAAGCTCGAGTGGTGCGGTAGAAAACCCTCAGCTTAGAGGCGGCGGCTCGAAAACACAGTGTCACATCGCAGGGGAGTTGTGGTGAGATGACCATTTGCTGTTTAGGAAGGGGTGTTACGAAAGCTTGCTGGGGGAGAAAAGATTTCTCGTGAGTGCGGTTGGCCTTGAGCAGGCTACCTCACCTCCGATGTCGCAAGGCACTGCCGCTTGAGGGATTCAGGGTCGAAACTCAGGACGTTCTCCTTTATGGAGCTGTGATCCAGCACGTCTTAGAAAGAGCCGGTCTGTGAGGTGTCTCCACGCAAGCCCTAGGATCGGTAGCCCTAGCCTGAGAGCCCATCTACAGGCCAGAGAATCTGCTTGTGTTTGTTGGTGTGCCCGGCTTAGGGCCGCAGTACACTTTGCTCTTGGAATGGTCGGCGAACGCATGCTTATACTTGCTCTCGGGCTTTTCCTTGGTCCCCCTGGTAAGATGTTCATTCGAGGGTCATCTCTGAGATCGATGCGTTTGGACTTTAGACTGCATGCCGCCATGCGCAGTATCTAAGTGGCAGGGGATCGATCCGGTGAAGCATTCAAGGTGCGCGGGGAATGGGGGGGGTTCGCTTGGTCTATAGTGTTTCGGTCATCCTCGCATTCGAAACGTTTCTCTGGGCTAGGATGGGTTTGCTCCACATGTTTCGTTCAGCGAGCTTGGGATGCTGCTCCCAACGGATGCGTTGCGCTGAAGGTTCAGTCGGGATAGGCACAGTTGGGTGGATATCACATGGCTGAAGTCAGGCGAAGGCAAAAGGCAAGAGATCCCTTGCTCATCTCGCGTTGGCCCCATGTTAGGGGTCGCGACCTCAACCCTACCTTGATGCCAGATCTCTCTCGCGTTGAAGTTGACTTCTTCTGAACTTGACCCAGCCTTTCCTAGCATTGAAGTCCATATTGGAAGCACCCACAAAGGAGGAAGAGAAGTGGCTGCCCGGGGACATGGACCATTCAACTCCTGTTCCGCTGAGGTGGCTGCATGTGGGAAATTTGGGATTTGTCCAGGCAGCCGTGTTTTGTCACATCTGCTCTTAAGGGCCATTCCGGATAGTGGAGATGTGGCCTATGCCAAGAAGTGTTCACAGAATGCACAGGCATGCCGAGAAGATTCGAAACCAACGCTTCAGCCGCAAGAAGACTCGTGACTTTCTGGAGCCGCGGTCCCAGCCACCGCCTGTCGATCTTCTTTAGGATGGCTTTTGGGTATGCCGGTATGCTTGAGGCGGTGAGGATCAAGACGGTTTGGTCACCAAGCTGTTGCGGCGATGCGACCTTCATTCTGCTGCAAGGCGGGTTCTCCAACACCGTGTCCGCGGCGGAGCCGCTTGCAGCATCAGGTTACATCGGGAACATGCACGCACTCCCGGGCACCCGAAAGTACGATCTAGCCCAAGCCCGAGATCCGATTCCAATTTAGTCAGGTCCCTAGACCAGCCTGAAGCGTGTGCACTCAGAATCTGTTTTTGCCGCCAGGAATCCAGGCCCGAGGTTAGCTCCCAGAGAGCGCACAGCCCTGAAACTTCTTTTCGGATGGTCGTAAGTCCCCGGGAGCCAAGGACAAGCTGCTCTGCAGGCCGAGTGCTTGCTACCCATGCGCTTCAACACATCCTAAAGCACTTCGGCATTGCGTCTGTGCATGAATGCACTTCGGTGGCTCTGTTTGGTTACCTGTTGCAAACCTGGACCTTCTGCTTCCAAAGTTGTGCAGTTTCATGCTTCCTGAAACACATCCGTACTGTACCGTGGGCGGGTCTGCCAAGAAGTGGCAGGCTGTCAGCCGAATCTGCACCAAAGCTCAACTGCGAACGCAGGCCTTTTGTGGAAACGATGATGGAGGTGCTTCACCAGGCGGGCCTTTGCAGGCTCCAGAGATCGGGTTTCAGTATTCTGTGCAAGCGGATGCTTTTTGCTTCCAGGCCTTGAGTTATTGTTACCATTTCTATTCTCACTATTATGATTATTCTTTGTGAGTATGACTATTGCTATTGTTATTGTTTCAAGCAGCAAGAAGGAGCTCAGCGAGGAGGAAGTCGCAGCCTTCGCCGTGAACATCTTCGCGAGCGTTAGGACGGCTCTGTCTGGGGACTTTGTGGGCTTACATACCTGTTGAGGATCCAGGATGAATTCCCTTATAGGCTTGTACAGAAGCCCTGTGGCCCTACTGGCCTACAGTAGGCGGCTTGGGGTCCCAGCGTTGGTGACAGGAAGTATGCCGCCGAGCCGGACTTCCTGGGTTTCCTGCTCCTGGGACGGTTTCAGACTCTGTGCCGAGCGGCCAACAAGCGCTTGGTGGAAGTCTTGACGGGGCTGGAGATGAGGTTTTCAGGTCTTGTTCGCCGGGCATTCGTGCCACAGCAGGAGAATCCAACTCAAGACGCGAATCAAATCCGAACGCCAGTGATCGAGCCAAGATCCAGTTGCGAACGATCCGACGGCACACAAACCGATGCTGAAATGCACCGCCTCAAAGTTCCTCCTGCTCGTTTACTAGTAACCATCGCCGAATCCTCAGTTCAAAGCCAAGGCTCCTGATCACCGGTCAGGTCGCAGATGTTGTCGTGCCTTGGTCGCAATCCCCCAGACGAACATTCACAGAGAAGGCTCGCGTCGTAGATCGGCCTTCTGCTTCAGAGCATTGCTGAAGCCAAAGCCCGCAGCCGTGAGTGCGAGAGTTCGAGAAGCCGCTAAGTGGAGCATCCATGAAAAGTTCCTTTATCTGGCACACCGCATATGCGTACTCCCTGAAAACCATAATTTCAGGCATGTAGCCTGTATTGCCAGAGGCCTCCGCAAGGAAAGCCAGGCATAGGGCGGTACAGTGGGCGGTACAAGGGCATTGAGACTAGCAGAGTGCAGACTCGAGTGCCGTGAGGTTCGAGACAACCGCTCGCTCTGTGCAGAGCTGTTGAGGCCCAGTGCGGTAGCGCGATTGGGGGTTAGATATGCCGTGCACCCTGCGAGCTGCCAGCCACAGGATCTTCCGGATTTATTTCGAGGTGGCAGACGGGCCTGGCGCCTAGGTTCTCTTTAATC